TTTTTTTTTTTTTTTTTGTAAGCTATCTCAATGTTTATTTTTGAGAGAGAGAGAGAAAGAGAGAGAGACAGAGCATGAGCGGGGTAGGATCAGAGAGAGAGGGAGACACAGAATCCGAAGAAGGCTCTAGGAACAGAGCCCGACACGGGGCTCAAACTCACAACCTGCGAGATCATGACCTGAGCTGAAGTCGGACGCTTAACCAACTGAGCCACCCAGGTTCCCCCAAAATGAAATATTCTTAAACAGTTTCTTCTGAAACTACATTTTCCAATAATTTCAGACTTTAGGGGAAAAATGAAAGCAAGTTATCAGAACTTACTAGGAGTACTTTCTTCTTTCCTAAGAACCTGTAATGCTTTTATTTGCTGAGATATTGTTCTAATCCACTGAGTCAGTTTTGGTTGGTCTGAAATATTTAACCTGCTAGAAAAGATTATACAGACTGTTTAGTATCCTGTTGCTGTTGCTTAGTTTATGACACAAAAAGACTCTTTAAATGATCATGGACCTAATAATTTAAACACACTTCAAATATATATATAAAAAAAAAGCTAGGGGGAAATTTGTTGCCTTAAAAAAATAAGAATAGTTACCTGCCAATGGAAATGAAAATGTATTATCTGTCACTATGATGCTAATAACACTATTTGTCAAAAATGTCTTTTTTCACAATACTGGAATTTGCTAATATTTCTTAAACAGCACAATTACAGTACCACCACTAGTATTTACTGAATGTTTAACATATGACACTTAACAAGCATTTTACAGTATTAGAATTAATCCTCACAATAATCTTATGAAACAGGTTACATTATTTTCCCTACTTTACAGATGAGGAAATTGAGGTTGAGAGCTATGAAACTTGACTAAGGCCACACAGAGGACAGATCTGGCATTCAAACCCAGGTATATCAGACTCCAAAAAAGCCTGTGTTCTTCATGACTACGTTGTAATTGACCTTCATGGGATGGGTAAAACACAACAAAGGTAATTTTTTTCTTTTTATGTGCATTAATCTAATAACGATTAATTTTTCAGTTCAAAGGCAGATTAGGTCACCATGATATTCTGTTATGATTAAAAAGTAGGAGCTTACACTCAAATCTAATAGCATTTTAAGAAGATTTTGTGCTAGCATAAACTAAAACACCATAGTTTGAATTCCTAAAATTGAAAAGAACTTCATTTTGAATTGAATCCACATAGCACAGAAATTAACAGTTGATTAATATTCACAAAACTTGGGGCGCCTGGGTGGCGCAGTCGGTTAAGCGTCCGACTTCAGCCAGGTCACGATCTCGCGGTCCGTGAGTTCGAGCCCCGCGTCGGGCTCTGGGCTGATGGCTTGGAGCCTGTTTCCGATTCTGTGTCTCCCTCTCTCTCTGCCCCTCCCCCGTTCATGCTCTGTCTCTCTCTGTCCCAAAAATAAATAAAAAACGTTGAAAAAAAAAAAAAAAA